CCCTGTTACAAATGCAATGCTCAGAAAGCATGTGGTACTGGGCTGTGGTACACAAACTGTTCGGATATCAAAAAAAGATTTAGTTTAATCGGGCGTTTGTTAATATTGAATTTCAGTATCATTTGGCTAGTATTGAAAGGAAATGATTGCAGGATTTGAACAATAGTGAAGTGAACGCTATCATAAGTCGTGCCTATTTGGAATTACTCGATTGGAATGTAAAATATAAATATCCACCAACACTTTTGGTATTACTGTTATTTGTTTTTATACGGTCTCTTTTCATTCACAATCAACTGAATTGGAGTTTCATTTGTTTTCATCACATTTGAGATGTCAAAACTCAGCTCCAGGCTACAAGCCACTCACAAGATGCAGTAAGATTCGAAAGTTGAATCTAGGCTTGGAATAACGGGAGACGTTTGAGTTAGGAAGGATTTTAATCGGCTCAGAAAATAGCGAGCAGTGTTGTACGAATGGATCTAGCAGTGAGAATTCATTTCTGGATAGGCGAAGAAGAAATGTTTCCGGTCCAATGTGGTGACATATTTTAGTAGAGGGAGGAATATGTGAAGAGAAGAATGAACGATAAAGATTCATAGTGTTCGTTTATGTTTATGTGTTGTTGATAAAAGTCATTCTTATTTTAGGTGGATAGAAATCGTTTGGAAGCGATTGCCGAGAAGGTATTGCAATTGATTGTGTGCACGTCGTGTGTTTTGATAACGTGCAATCTGGCTGGTAAAGAAGTTTGTGAATTTGATAATTTCAAAGGGAATCTCAAAAATCAATTGGTTATCATTACGAATGATATCGAAAAATGGTTCGTTCTAATTGAATGTTTGTGTATAAGAATTGCAACGAAATTGCATTGAATTTCAGTAATATCAACGAGCGGTTAGAGTTGGTCTATGCGCAATGTGAAAAAGGTATTTTGAGTTGTTACAAAGAGCTGAATTTGGGTGATTATGATGATGAGAAAAAGGCACAACTGCGGGCACAGATCATGGCTGTTTCTGAGCCGAATAATCAAGTTCGAAAACTGATGCGTTCGTTTTTATCCACTTATTGATATTCCTATTGATTTTTGTGTATATTTGTTTATTTGTCTATTTGTTTGTTGTTATGATCGTTTACGAAATGTTGAGTTTTCTTCGAATATTCGTTCCTTTTCTAGTTCATTCATTTATTTCTAATTCTTTTTAAATTGCCATATTCATAATTTGATTGATTCATTTTGATAAAGTAGGTGAAATCATCGTCTATTTAGCTTATTCACCTTTGATTTCAGATCGCTCATCTGTGACTTTTAATTAAATGATCTTCTTGAGAAATGAGTTCTGTGGATTAGTCTTTGAGTTTGTTAGCATTTCAGCTTTATGAACTGCAATCATTCTCACGTGAAAAAGAATTATTGAAATTGTTTCAATTTAGTGACATATTAATTTGAATAATTATTCCGTTTTAAGTTTTATTACCTATGTGAAATACATGTGTAATTTCAATGCAGAATTCGTCATCGTTTCAGAGAATCGCATCAATTCGTTTATTCTGTCGATGATATCTCATGAGTCTGCATCCACATCACAACGACTTCCAATCGGTGTCTCTATGGTCGAGCAAGAGTTGACCGCAGTTCTGTCGCTTCTCACCCGCATCATCTCGCATAATCGAACCACATTCGGAACACTCTATGGTGAGCTCATCAAAGAAGCGATGTCCAATTGAAAGCATTCCTCTGTATCGAATGTGAATTGATCTTTTGTGCGTTATATATCGTGAAGAATTTTGTTGAAAAAGCATGATAACATATTCGTTTGTATCTCATTCCGTCATGATAATTGATAAACTGCCCGTGTATGCATTTTATCATGAACAGTTTTGTACCTACCGATAATTCTTTCAAATAAATCTGCATTTCTTGTGTATTCTCAGTGGGTTGCAAATAAGATGAATTTGTAAAACTGGTTAGCTAAAAATTGCAAGTGAAACTTCGCTCAAAAATATGTAAAGTCAAAACCTGAAAGAATGGAAGATTTCATATGGATGGAAGGTTTCGTGGAATTTGCTGGGTTGGACTTTTGACTGAAGAGAAGAATGCATAACCAGAAACAAAGACCACTGTAAAATTGATTACATACCCTTCAGTATAATAGATGATTATTTGAAAGTACTATACCCTATCTTTACAAAGATAATTTAACGTAACAATTAAAGCAATGACTGAAATTAATATCGACCATGTTCATAGGCAAGGAATTGCATTGTGTCATTGTATCGAAATGATTCATTATTAATTACAGGTGACATATACCATTAAGGTATCGTATATGTAAACATTTTCTCACTTACGGTTAGACTACACTGGATTATCGGCATAGGAACATAATTGTTTCCGTCATTCGGTTCATAATCCCGAAAGTCAGAAAACCGTAGCATAATTTTCCGTAGTGATCAATGACTAATGAATGAATTCGTTTCAGCTAACCTCAACTCTCCCTATTGCGCATACGTATTCCTTTGCTTTACTTTATTCCTATCATATCCTTTACTTCGCATAAACATGTTTCGGATTGTGAAAGAATAAATCTGAACTGTAATGAAAAAAGTGGGCTTAAGTCTCAGTTCAAGTACAATAAAAATAGCGAAGAAATTGGAGGAATGAGAAGCATCCTGAAATTCGAAAAAGTCAATTGGTCCGATGTATGCAGGG